CAAGGTAACAGCTACGGTCGGGAGAACAGTCACTGGTTATATTACAGAATACATTTACTTACGAATGATAAAATAAAAACAATTTAGTCAAACTCAAAGAAGAATGGATTCATTCATTTGTCAAAATGCTAAGACAAGCTTTGTGGACTCGAAATATTAGTACATAGTATAGTTTCATGGCTGTCTACTATTTCCTTATTTAGTAACGAGCAGTTCAAGATTGACGTTAGGTTCACGTCTCCTTGAAAATCACAATATAAGCATATGTCAACAATTTCTATATAGTCGCTTACATCATACATAAAAAAATCATCAAAATTATAAATTTTATCCATTAATGTTATTGAGATCAGTGTTTTTACCCATTGAAATCATCAATCAATCATTGTTAGACCATCACCATTAGAAACCTGGAAGTGCCGAATGGACGTCAAGTTCTGGTGTCGGACTCATCAGCAGTGTAAATCCACAACTGCTGCTATTCACGGGATTCGAATCCATGACCTTCGGTTCTGAGAACGAATGCTTAGCCTGTGGACCACTGAGCTGGCATCCAATAGCATTAATGTCTAACTCTGATCAATCTGGGGATTTCGCGCAACCTCAACCTGTGAGTAGCAGTAGTCATGGACACGCACTACTGCTGAGTTCTATACCGGGACTTGACAGCTGTCCAGTGCTTCCAAATTTCTAATAGTGGTCTAATAATAACTGTTTAATGATTTTAAATGTACAAAAATTAAAATTACCGTTTTTTCATGGAAGTTTTATAATTTAGATTATTATAAAATTACCGTTTTTTTCTTGGAAGTTTTATAATTTAGATTATTAGAATTGAAAAAACTCATCATAAAATTACCTACAATCCAAGAAACATTTACATTTTCATTCCTTATTTGTTACATGACAAAGAATGATGATTCATGAGAAAATTCTCAACAAAGAATCTCTTTTTCTATTATAGTTTCACCACGATTCATGTCATTAAAAGATAATGAAAAAAAAACAGTACATCTTTACAAAACAAACAAATCTTTAACAAAACTATATAACTCGGTTTTTTCTCTTTTGATTAAATCGTTTACTACATTGACTAGTGTTATCACGCATCATCATCATCATCATCATCATCATAATGATAATTACTGTGTTTCTTTATTCCCTCACAATCCATATGTTTTAATTCACAGAAAGAATCATAAATGTGACTCAGTTGTTTGTAAGCTTTTGTATAAAAAAAATTTCCAATGTAACATATAGATTGGACAGACGACACTGATGACGATAATCGTGATAACGATGATGATGATGATGATGAAGATGATAATGATAATTATCACTGTACTCCACAACCTACTCATCGCTTAATCACCTTGATATTATTTACTCATTCAACCATGTGATGATCATGATGAGATATTATTACTATTAGTCATATCATCATTATTCAGTAGTAGTAGTAGTAGTAGTATATGATTTTATTTTTTATTTCGCGTCATCATTCCATGTATCCAGTAATTCGGTTAAAATTGGCTAAAACTGATTTTACATTAGATATATATGTATGTATGTATATATTTAGATCAATTACAAATCAATAACTTTTTCGTCCTACTGAATATCCCATTCCAGATGAGTAGTATCGTCGAAATCATGCCTATTAATTTTGTTTTTCGCTAATTCATATGAGCATATGTTCAAGTTTGTAATATTTGGTGCTTTGTTTCAGAGTCACAACTGGATAAACATTGAAAATTGAATGACTATAATAAGTATGAATATATATATACATCCTTAATGCAACAGATTGAATTCAATATCCAATATATATGTATATATATAAATCATTGACTAAATTAACAAACAATAATTGTAAACAAGTTAATTATAAATTATTTTGCAAAATTCCTCCCGTTTTACCACGATAACTCATTAAAAACAACACAAACAAACATATATGGTCTGATTTAAGTAGTCTCAATTACAAACAATTAAAAAAAAGATAAACTTAGTTTGTGAGAATTATTTGCATCATTCTATAAATTATTGTTGCATTTATACAATGAAATGTATTTGACCCAGACTCAATTAATCTAATAATAGTTTATCATTGACATAATTACACCTAGATAGGTCATAAACATATTGGAAGGCAATAGGACCGGAAATGTTGATTTTATTTCATGATGAGCATAAGAATAATTATTTGCGGTGTTTTAGTACTTTATGAGTCAGAGTTTTATTGGGTTACTTTGATTTATTGAATGTTATTCGATTGTATTTTAAATAACAGGAAAAGATTTAATTGTCTATAAAACTTGATGATCATACGTTTAGGTATGATTTTTTCGGGCAGAGTTTTGGAGGTTTGTGTTTTTACACATTTGAAATCATCAATCGATCATTGATAGATCACCACCATCATTAGAAACCTGGAAGCACTGAAAGACGGCCGTTTCGTCCTGGTATGGGACTTATCAGTGGCAGTGCGCATCCACGAATCATGCTGCGATTTGAAGGATTTTGTGCGCGAACGCCTAACCATCAGACCACTGGTCCGGCATCCAATGGTGTTAATGTCTAACTCTGATTGATCTAGGGATTTTGCGCGACCTCACCCATTTGTCTTTGATAGTTACTGCCTGCACCCGACAGGGTTGTATGATTACCTGTTGGAGAGGTTCATGTGCAAAACCATGATCGATCGAGTTTGGCCGTGCGATATGGTGCCGTCGATACGAACGGAACTTAACCTTGTAGTATCGCGTTCATTGGAGGTCTGAAGGTTTGCAGCTTACCAAGAGGCATGAAGGATCTGGGTTTAATGCTTGACAGTATCATGTATGCAGATTTTTTTGTGACGAATTCTAAATGAGAACGAAACATAAACTATTCAGTGTTCCTTGATTTCCAGTAGCTAACCATTTGATATTAATCTGTAATGAAAGCAAATCAGGAAATCTTGTCTTGTAATTGATTGAACCTAGTTCAATAACAGCCCTAATTCATCTAGTTTCAGTGCTATCTGACACTAGACAGCAAAAAGTATCCGTTTTCTTCAGAGCTCTCCCGATGCATTTACCTGTATCACTATGTAACGATCAATTTAGTGAACAGTTCCACATGCTAGTCAAATTTTATCATGCTCAAACTACATGAAAGTTATCAGTCCCCTAACTGCTCTAAACTGAATGCATTTTAATATCAAGTCATGCAGTCTAGTAGACGAATCACAAATTAGTTAATAGATTTTCCTCAGTATTAACAACTGAATGACATGAGATTATGATAAATGCAAAGAAACAATCATATTTAAGCATTTTCATAATTTTTGAGAGAATTCACTTTCATTTAACTAAATCGAAGCATTTTGAACTTCTTACAATGTTGTTTATAGCTAGTTAGTTTGCAGATGTTTAACTATATAATTAATACTCTCTCTATCTGTCTCTCTCACACAGTAAACCTGTGGCTCCATTTCAAGTAAATTGAGTTGAACTTCCTATATTTTTAGGTTGCATGATTCATTGTACCCCTGTTTTTTTCTGAAATTACTTATTTTTTTTCTCGTCAACATTACTTCGGATTGATTAACAAAATATTTGGAGCCAGAATCTAGTGAATTCTATGATTACTAAATATTAATTATTTAAAGTACACTGATTATTTTCAATTAAAAAAATAAATAAAAATAAAACTTTTCTTCATTAATTCAATTAAAAACTTTTTTAGACTGATAATTTTTAAAGTGTATCAGTAGAAAGAATAAGAAATATGCATAATGTCTCTATATACGACTGAGTGAACTAGCAAGAAGACCTCCAACGAAGTCTATCAGACAAATCATTGTCTGTTATAAGCAATAATACAAACTGACAAGCAATATTTATGATTTGAAAAATGATGGTCATATGTTGTTCGAGTTAGTTATGCATTTTTAAGTAAATTTAATTTAAAAAAAATTAAAAATGAATAATAAAACTAGTGTCAAGGAGGAGTGTCGACTGTGTACGTCATACTTTGTTTGTGACAACTTAGGCACTGAATACGGTAAAGTTTAATGATGTCTACTGTTTGTAAATATGAATAATACTACTGATATACAAAATTCCGAGACTAAGGTTCATGCTCTTAATGTGACAGGAAATTACAACCCTAAACATTTGCCATCAAAGGATAAGTATTTAGTTCTTGACTTCATTGAATCAACAGCTTTTAGCTTTCAGCTTGACTATCAATATGTTTTTAATCGTCTTGACTTGGCAATAGAATCATGTGAGAGAGAATGCTGAGTTCTAATTAGAACTTGTTCCTATCCAAGCGCTTACCACATAGTTATTTTAAGAAGTCTTGCTCAGTGTTTTCTATGACTGATAATTCTCTTAAATGTCTTCTTCTTCTCCTCCTATGTTTTCCTTATAGCGTTGTGGAGATTGTTGAGTTTCATTGAATTCAAGTGCTCACTAGTGAGTAGCTTTGTGAAGAGATTTTTGGCGTTTTGCTGAGAAGCCGTGAACAGTAGAGTTCAAATGTGTTTCCGGTGTGATACACTTTACTGATAATAATAATAATCTTGAAATACAGATATAATAAACAGAGATTAGCTATTTTGAAGTTAACAGGCAAAAAACTCGATTGTATATACCCAACAAAGAATATATCGCTTTTTTTCAAGGAATAATTGAACTATATTCAGTGATTAGAGATTTCATAGTTCTTATATCATGAACACATTTCAATTTACTAATCACTGAAAACTGTAAAGTATAACAAAAGCTAGTTCATTCTCTTATGGAAAGCTTCACCGATGCACATCAACCATTTCACTGAAGATCAAATTCCATTTCTTTTGTATCCTATAGATGAATGGATGTTTAACCTGTAAACCATGTAGCTGAGATCGAATATGTAAACTGAAATCAGTTTACGATAAGATGCAACCGAATTTCTTACATATTTCGAATTAATTATTTCTATTTTGTTAATAAATTTTTATTTAGGTCATTTAGGTATTGCTGGAAGACAATGTAATGCCACGTCAAATGATGCTGTCAATTCATGTTCACGTTTATGTTGTGATCGAGGCTATGATACATTGGAATTTGAACGTGAACAAAAATGTGAATGTAAATTCTTTTGGTAAGTGAAATAAAATACTTTTACAATTTGAATTTAGTTTATTTCTCTCTTTTTATAAGCAATAATAAGTTTTCAAGTGACAAACTGTTGGTTTTAATTGAATCGAGCATATACACTGCGCTAATTATTTGTACTGTAGACAAATTCATGTGGCTTTTTCACACTTGATGAATAGTAAATCAATATTGCCTTTCTAAATCAATTTGTCCATACAAATAAATATTAATCACTGGGTAGATTGTCAATCATAATAAAATTATCGATCCACATTTATAACATCCTGATGAGTAGGAAATAAATATTCGACACTTCGTGACTTAGTGTAAACCATTTCTTCAGAATTTTTTATCAGTTAAATCATTAGAGACACAAATGTTTATTTGATAACTTGAAGTTTACTGATAAACAGCGTAATATTAGAAATAATAATAAGGACATACAAACATGCTGTCAGAATAATTATAAACATGAGTTAGTGATTTTCTGTTCAATTCATTTTATTTAGATTTGAAAAAGAACTGTTTCTGAATCTAAAGTAAACTATAGTTAGTGAATTATGAAACAGAAGTAGTCTTAGCAGAGCTCTATAACGACTTTAAGTGGATAACACTATGAGTTGTTAAAGAGAATGGTACTGGGTTAGAATGTTTGAGTGAACATCAACTCTGAAATGCAATTACATTCAGCTGATGAGTTGTAAATAGGACGAAACGCGCACACTGGACTACACTTCCAGCCATTGTCTATCTGAGCTAATAATACTTGTGACCTAATGGGGTTATATCAAGGCAATCCGAACAGGATGTGCATAAGCGAGAATGTAATTGATCAACTGCAGTCCCAAGAATTAATCAGTGGGAAGATTCAAGCTATTGTAGTGAACGAGTCAGATACCAGATTGACTATGCTCACCACTAAATGTTCCATAATAACCCGCCGTTATAAAATCAAAGTAAATCCATGGTCCAAGGTTTTTTTGAAGAAGATGGTAAGCATTACATGGGGAGCAGGGCATTTAGAAAAGTGGCAGCAACGCGAAGAGAACGTTGCGCGCAGGAAGTCGTAGAAGTGTTTTGGTACAGTTAAACAAAACGAGTACAATAATGTTTATTTTTCACAAATCGTATTTTCTTCGTAGAAGCGTTCCACTACACTGTCAGTACAAATACAATGTACTCTCACATGAAATCCAAAAGTGAATTACATTCACACTTTTCAGAATCTTTTACTAAAGGCGTCTAAATTTTAGTAGTTCTTATCGCTCTCTCCTTAAACTTACCTTGGTGATTTCATCTGTTTACCATTAACCTAAATATTGGAGAAATAACATTAACTGGACCGAAGCTATTAAAATAGAAACCTTATTTTCGAACTAGAAATAAGTTTTAAACCAACAAAACATGTCTGTCAAGTGTTTTTATCTATTTCATAGTTTTTGTAGCTCGTGTTAATCAGTTATAAATATCATCTTATCTAAAATTTACTATACTGTTAGTAATTATTTACTGATCGTAAAATATGTCGAAATTATCAATAAGTGTTCACGATTCAATTATCAATTGAATAGCTATCCTATTCACTTTGACCCTTTTTCAAATGGTAACATTTTTTGAATTAGGTCAAACACTAGTAACCTTTTTTTAATTTTTATCATGAAAGGAAAAAAAATATAGTTTTATATTTAAATGATTCAATAATTAGTCAATGAGACAAATAAGTTTTATCGATTTATATTCAACATAAAAGATACAAACTAAAGCTTCGAAGGTCATTAGTGCAGCTGAGAAAAAAACCAACTAGTAAGATGTTGTCTTTTTTAAATGTTCAGCGTTTCTGAAGGTGTGTAAAACTAAGAACAAATTCTGTTACGTTTGATCCACAGAACTCGCTTGATAAATGACTTATTTTGGATTTCACGTTTGCGAGCATGGGCTGATCAGTTGACATTGAGATTTCATTTCCCACCAGGAAAATCCTTGGCTGTGATTGGCTGCTGTGTATTTTTGTGTGCTATTTTCTTAACTGTCCCAAGAACGTTTCTATGATATATAAATAAACTAGATTTGTGTGCTTGGTTGCACTGTGCTTGCTGGGTGTTGGCAAAATATACTGTCTACGCTATATCAAGACTTCTATTTAGCCGTTCGGATCAAGGTAGCCTACCTGGACTCTGGTTCATTGTCTTATTCACGTTTATCGACTAAGATGAACCCGTTATAATTTCAAGCATACCTAGTGACGAACCCAACACATATGCTATCTGTAATGTATTTTACAAAGTGAATTTACATTGATAAATGAATTTACAAACGGTACCATGAATATAATAGTAGCCGCTGTAAAAATGTCAGAAATTAAAAAGATTTATCATAATCTATGTAAATTTTTTTTTAAATTTTATATAGTGTTTCAACTCATTTTTTAAAATTTTCACAGCTTTTTTTAAAATAACCACAGCGTTTTATAAATTTTTTTATAATTCTTAAAATGTCCTTATACATCGATTTATATCAACTTAAAATCAAATAAAATTAAACGACAGATGTATGCGCAAGATTTTATGAATATCGAAGACTTCTTCATAAAAGTTTTTTACTGATGAATCCTCCTTTAATTTGTACTTGAGAAGAACTTTGAGAAGATCTACAAGAGAGAAACCAGCAAGTGCCATGCTTCCGTCAGCAAGTGGAACTAATGGAAGTTTTAATATCCTCAATAACAGGAAATGAAGTTCTTTTCGCTCAAACATTTTTTTGGTTCAGTGAACGCCGATAAGTTCATTCATCTTTTTTTTGATCGAGTGAATGAAAAATGCAATCAAAAAACAATTTTTAAGAATTGCTTTTTTATCCTTGATAATGCTAGGATCCATCACTCCAATATCACGAAAAATTTTTGTGATCAAAAGGGAGTAAAGGTTATATTTTTGTCCCCTTGTAGTTATATGCCCTATCCAATTGAATTTGCATTTTCAAAAATCAAATATAAAAGAAGATCACTGACAAGCGGATTTAATGAATCATTTACAAATCTGTAAATCAATTAACCACAGATGATTTATAAAAGGTTATTCGAGGTATATACGTCGCAATTGTTTATAAAAGCGATTGCTAAAGAAAACTTTGATTAAAAAAATAGTATTCTTTTTGTATTTTTTAAAAAAACATTTTTAAAAACGCTGTGAAAATTTTAAAAAACGAGTTGAACTACTATATTATTTCTACCTATGATAATGCTCGAATAAGAAGCATTGTAATCTCGTTGCGAGAATCAATGCCCTCAATATTTTGCTTTTTACGAATGAATTAAAACTATAAACTGAGAATTCAACTGAAAAATACACTGACTAACAGTAATTTATTATCAGTTTACGTTTTTTGTTTCGGAGAAAAGAAGACATTTTCACTTCAGCTTTCCAAATTTGGTGTTTATGAGATTCTGTGCTAATTTCCTTAAATTTTTCTTTTGTATATATATATATTCTAGGTGCTGTGAAGTACGATGCAATCTATGCCGAGAACGAACTGTTCTACATCATTGTAAACATTGAACAACTAACTCTACATAAATATAAACTAAACTATTCCATATCCCGGAAAAAATGTTCAATGGGTTTTAATTTGACAATATTTTATTGGACAATTAACTGTCATTGTGTAACGTTGGGAAAAATTTATGGATTCAGTTAAATGTTTGTGAATTTTTTTTTTGTAATTCAAACTGTCTGTTTGTTAACTATTCATTGATAAATTGAAATTTAAAACAAATTATACTACTTATAAGTTTCAATTCAACTTATCATCATATCTATTGTTAATTTGATGGATAGATAAATGTATGTGTTTTCAAATGACTGTATACATGATAATTCATTCACGTAATTACACACGACACTTTTTTGTTATTATCTTTTAATCGAAATCATGGGATGATACAATTGACTGTTTTTGTTTTCTTGAAATTATACCTAAAAGCGTATTGTTTTAATTTGCCTGACAAGAATTACGAACAAAGTTATCGGAGTTTGTCTTCTATAAATATTGTTTACTGTTGTTATTGATAGCATTTTTAAAAACAATATTAACTATCATACAAACGATTCTCTTATAAACAGTATATATATAAGTGTTCTTTCTCATGAAGCATGTTATACTACTGTTTAATGTTACATTTTAAACAAATTAGTTATATATATATACATATGTGTGTGTAAAAATTGTTTTAATTCATTGAGTTGTTTTCGATGTTTAGGAATATCAAATTTGATTTTGTTCATAAATTTTTAAAAGGTTTTTAGTGATAATAATATTATCAGTGATATAATCTCACTGGTATTTGAGATGATGAAAATCGTTATACTATGATAATATTGATGATGAGTAAGTTGAGATTGATTATCCAAAAAAATAAGTCAAAAATAGTGAATAGTGAAATTTTAGCATCCTAAGCAAAGTGTAGAATCAGCCTATGGATTCACTGACTAATAGTCTAAGTTATGTTAGTAGGTGAACACTATCTGTTTGGAGTCTGCGTGATAACTCCAAGTAGTGGTTAGAGAATGTTACGCATGCATGTGATCATGTCATTTGATACGCTTGAACTATTACGAGTTCACCTTAGACAGTAAACGAGAGCGAGAATCAAGGATCCGATTACATGACAAGCTACTCTAATCCGAGTGTCCCGAACCCGCATTGAGTAAAAGAAGACTTGCTATGAAGTAGAACGTGTATTCTACAAGCAACCAGAAAGTACGAGGTCCGAGTCCAGAAGAGAATCAGGATCCCGGACTAAGGATCAGGGTCCGGGTTCGGGTTATATAACGCTGCAGATAATGCGTTGAAGCATGTGATAGTGACATTTAGGACGAGTAATAGGAATGGAGCGGTAGAATTAGACTTACCAAATAATTCTTTTAGGATATTGGATGACATGGTTCAGTGTAGGTTTCATTGGTGCAGATATATTTTCTTCGGATTTATCTCTCAATCATAAGTCCCTATATTCGTTTGTACATTCATTTTTACTTTGTTCTTTCAAACTAAATTCTCATCACGTCATCTCTGTCATTTCTATTACCGCCACGTTAGTTAGATTCCTTCAATATTCATCATTGTGTATCGATTTTGAAGCATTAATATGATAAGCTATCTTGGCCAAACTCACTTATGCGCTAGAATCTGTGTTGATTTCAGTGCAGACAATATAAAAACTCTGTGATTTGATTAGTGGATCAGACTATCATCATTGCGTGTGTGTGTGTCCTGTAACGATTTTATTAAGATCAAAAGTCTAATAAAATGTTAACTAGATTCTTGCACTAAATCTAAAACTGAATCTTTATAATTTCTTACTAGTTGACGCAAACTGTTTCATCTCTTTGTCATAGTTACAATCAGTGAAATTATTGCCAACTTAATAGATTACGCTAAATACTCATTTCCACTTAAATAAGTGGTCATATTCAAAATGACTCTAAGAAAGTCAAGAAGTTTCACATGAGAGGTGTATATGGATTAATTTTTGAAAGATAAAGTGCCGAGAGAGTGAACAACATAGCAACAAGATGATGTAATTGAACATAGGTCAACATCTTACAACATCAGCTTCTCAGTAATTGAAAGTTCAAGACAACTTACACCTATTGAAACCCAACCGAGGAATAGGCCACGACCAGTATTCTCAAACTTACTCTGTTCTGAGTCTTCCTTCTCGGTTCTACACAATTCCTTTTCAATCTCTTCTTACCCTAATATGTTCTTTGATCTTCCTCCTTTCGTTTGACCTTGAGGATTCCAACAAAGGGCTTATCTTATGACATGGTCGGGTGCTTTCCTCAGTGTGTGGCGTATCCACTTCCAGTGCTTTTACTCAATTACCCCATAGTAGGTTGTTGATGATAATGTCTGGTCAAAGGATCTTAAGTATTCTACGTAGATAACTGTTAATAAATACTTGTATCTTCTGGATGATGGCTTTCGTGGTTCTCAAGTTTCTTCCCCATACCATGAGACTGTATTGACATTTGTATTCAAATTTGTGATTTTCGTATCTGTTAATAGTTCTTTTAGGCTGAAGATTTTGTTCAGTTGTAGAAATGCAGCTCTTTCTTTGCCTTGCTCGTGAATGATGCTGCCCAGATATGCGAAACTTCCCCGTCAAGTGTGATTTTGTTGTATCGAAGGATCTTTTCCATTTTTCCTTCAGTATGCTGAGACCTACTAGTGCAGAGGCCGCCGCTACGCTAGTCATCCAATTCTGCATTTGTTAATGCATGTACAATAAATTCAGAACAGCAACCAGAAATAAATCTACTTACATGATTTCACTAAGTAAATCAGTAAGTCTATTCAACGAATAAGCATATGAGATATATAACAGATCAACATGTGAAATAGAGTTGATTAATCAGTAATGAATCCTAGTTAGATCACCATTAGAACCCGTGCTAGTCGCAGGAATCGGACCTAGGACCTAATCTCTAGACCATTGAGCCGGTATCCAAAGGTGTTAATGTCTAGCTCTGACCAATCTAAGGATTTTCCTAGACATCACCCATTTGACTTCGGTACTTATTGCCCACACTCAATACAGTTGAGCTCCACTGGTCACGTCTTCTCACTAGAACTCCGAGAATTCCATCACAAATCTAGTCACTAGTAAGCACAATGTTGATTTTGCATTAGAGTATAATGGAGATGATATTTTTGGTGGTCTAACAATGATTCATTCATAATTTCAGGGTAAAACTATCATCTCCATAAAACTCTATTGATTATTCATTGTTTGACTTGTTCGGTTTATTCTCTCTTTTACAGTTTGCCTTTTTTTTCCAAAACAACCATCATATTCCTCCTACCTATAGTCTTGAGAATAACCGATGGTTTTTTGACAATTTTAGTTATTTCATTGTTGGATATCAATTTTCGACTGTCAAAACGAGAAACTAATAAACAGATGATTTTTTTTATGTATTAGAAAAACAAACACACACAACTACTTGTATTTATAAAACGCAGCTTCCGAATGAGGATTTTTTTTGAACAGTAGGACAATAATGACAAACAAAGGGTTGTCAGTGTTTTTACAATGATAAATAAATGTCCAGACAAACAAGTTCATGATGTTTTTTTGGTTTTTCAAACTTCATGATTCATTCACACTTCCGGAGGTTAGAGATGTGTTTTTTTCTCCTGATAAAAAAATGTTCTCAGTATGTGTAAATGTATCTATTCGTGAGGGTGAGATTAACTGGTATTAGTTTGGGATGGATGATCATTATAGTATGTAGATTAACAAGGTACAATGCTACAAAGCAACCTGTAAGATAAAAATTTACAAGTTTTTGTTTTAATGACCGACAAAAACTTACATTTCAACTTTGTCATTTAGTGTGTCTTTGAACTTTTATATCAACACTTACCAAAGGAAAACTCGAAAGTCAGGTTTCTAGGGATGAATGCTAGGTACATATTACTTTTACTGGAACAGATATTTTAGCTAGTTATTTGTGGTATAGTCACAAAGAAATCAGGTCAATGATACAATCAAATAGCTTCTTACATATTTGAACATTAGGACTTGAAAACACTGAGCCAAAGAAAGCCAAACTTGCTTATGTCGATTGAGACTGATGGAGCATAATTTACCAACCAGGATTCTCTAAAAAACTTTATCCTCTACTCTCCTTTATACTTCTACCCAATCGCTATTCATTCTTTTCTTGCACACCTTTAATTTCCACAGCAATGTCTTCGACGGTCTTGCTCTTTTCATTTGGCACTGAACACTCCAAGCTGAGGCTTGTCTAGTGACGCAGTGCTTTTTTTACAATTTCTTTCTCATTTAGAAGCTAGTTTCTTGTCCTACACAGTAGTCTGTTGTTGATGACGCCTAACCAAAGGGTGATCAGTATCTTGTGTAGATAACTGTGAATAAACACATTTGCATCTCTTGGATGATAGCTTTCGTGGTTTTCCAACTGTTTTGATATTTGTATTAAACAGTTTGACTTCAGTGTTAATTGACAGCTATTTCAAGTTGTGAATGTTCTTCGATTGTAGGAATCCTGCACTTACTTTGCTAATCTCTGCCTCCAAATCTGCATCATATCCCTTTTAAATATCAATGAAACCACACAAGAATGCTGGACTTAATATCAGTTAACTTATCATGTGGTCCGATTACATACACCATAAACCCATTCATCTCCTCCCTCTTAAATAACTGTTCAATGAATCGTGTGAAACTAATCACAGCCACATTGTATCAAGTTATAACATGTATCCAAATCAATTGACTGGCAAAAATATTCATATCGTTTTATGTCGAAATATCACCAATGATAAAACAATGAAAAGATAGAATCATTCTGAAAAATACAATGTATTTACATCCTACATTACAAATAATCGGATCACTTATGTATATGTCAACATATTTTATATCACTTTATATTTTTTTCCAATGTAATTTACTAAAACTGCATTTGTTTTCACATGAAATACCTTGACAAGTTAATGTGTGATCAGATTTTTCAAAATCTATGAC